CTGTCCACAGAGAAGCCAGCCAAAGGTTCACGGTTTGAACCAGCACGCTGTCTCTAGTTTCGGCACGTACAGCTGGCCTTTGGGTCGAAATTCAAAATTTGTATTCAATTTAAAAATAATAATTGCCCGTTGTACTGAAAATATTGCGCGCCGTAGATATTTTCATATACAAGATGCGGGCTAAATTTGATTCCTAACAAATATGGTTAGATAAATGAAATGTTTGGAACTCACGCTAGTTATGCTTTGATTATCCATTAAAGTTTTTATACTCAAAGTTTAGAGTATGGTTAAAACGTAAATTCGAATAGTGGGTTTGAACCAGCTCGGCTCAAATGGGTTTTATTAAAGGAACTGCAATTTTTGTGAACAGTTTGGTTTGGTTTTTCCAAACGGCCAAAAAAACGGCTGGCCCCACTGTGCAGCCAATGTCGCGTTTGGCAATGCAATACCGTGGAGCGGCAACAAGAACAACATTGACGCTGACGCTGACGTTGACGTTGACGCTGACGTTGACAATAACCCACTTTTTGACCGTTGTTTTTGTTTGGTCAACGCTGTTGACCGTTTGCCAGTTCGCCCGGTTTCATTGTCAATGGACGCCCGCGTCTGAGCCTGGCTGGGCCAGAAACGGCCATCGATGCGGCTTGGCATTGTCACGGGATTGGGAATCCGTCAATGCGTAGAACGTACGTGGCATTAACTCAACTCGGCCAACACACACCAGGCACATTCTACTGCAGATTAGTTTACAGTTTATTCAGAAATGTACGTACAAATAGTCCGTATTGTAATCTAGTTAGCATTAGAGAGCTCATAAGAAGCAGCCTGTGCATCTACAATTTTAATAAGATAGAATATACGCATTCTGTTAGCATGAGCTGATGCTAGTTTAATATTGAATGTGTGTATGATGAAATTCATTCAATTTTTGAGGTCTCATGTGTAAAGGCATTATTTTTTTCCGTCTTTAAAATCAGTCTTGAGCAACCAACGATAGTTTTGTAATATATATACGATACTATCGATATAAATGGTTCAATTTTATTTTCCCTTTGTTTAAATAGTAATTAACTAAACGCTTGTCCCCGACTTTAATACATCAAGAATGAAGTGCAATCTTTCGTTTGAGTTCGCCTTTAATTCTCAAAAAGTTAAAGCGAAACAGAGGCAATATGTTTGAAGTTGAAGAAAGGTTCCAGAAATAGCTAGAGCTAGTAGCTTATTGTATGCGTGGGTTTTGTGCATGCAAAAATATTTATATAGCATACCTTATTATAAATATATAAATAGTTAACATTGACCTTTAGTGTCAGCCAAGCTTCATATTAATGTCACACTGAAAATGTCACTCAAACCAAGTGACATTTGCATTAATTTTGTTTATTCTAATATGGTTATTTATTTCGTAAAAAGCCTTCTGATCAATCTAGTGCTGCTGTTCAATTTATATATATATATATATATATATTCTTATTAGAAAACTAAATATCTTTGGTATGCTTTAAAAATCTTTGTTTGTTTTTTTTTTGTGGAGTTTCTGCTGTCCTCTCATATTGGTATGTTTTGTTTTTTACAGCAATCCGATGCTCAATCTCTAGTTCATGACTCTCTTAGCTGGTATTTCCATTTGGCAAACTTTGTCCCTGTTGTTCTTTCAATACAATCTCATATTTTCGTAATAGTTTGGCAGTTCCTCTTTGCATCCTGTCACACACGCACACACACGCAGAGACACACACAAAGTTGTTGCTGCTCATTTTTTCAGTCAAGTTCGACTTCTTCTCCTGGAAAGCATGCTAAATTCCCTGAATCAGGCAAATAGTTGGATTGTGTGTGTGTGTGTGTGTGTGTATGTGTGCTTCTCTCGTCTTTCTTCTTCTTCTGCAGGATATTCAACAGCAGCGACGTCGTCTTTTGCATTATTTTATGGCCTTAAGCAAATTATATTCCCTTAGCTTCGGCCAAAGAGTTAGCCAAAAACTTTTGTGCGAACTGCTGGCGTTTGTGTGTGCTTGAATATGTGTGTGTTTGTTGGTGTTGGTGTTTGCATAATTTTACAAAAAATTTCAAAGTTATCCCCTTGCTCTGCTCCACGCCTCCTCAGCCCAGCCATGCTGTCCTTTTTGCCTTCGGTTCCATTTATTTAGTTCGTTGCCATTTGCATTGTTTTGCGGCCCTGCGGCATTAAGCGGCAAAGTTTTTGACAAAAACTTTTGCTGTTGTTAAAGTTGCATTTAAAATTTGCATTAAATTAAGCACACACACACACACACACACCCGTTACACCCCTGGTGCGCTGGCTACTGCGTTTTTTGAGTCAATTTGAACTTTTCGCCTAAATCGCAGCGACAATCGCCTGTTTAGAATTGGCAAATAAAGGCTGATCAAATTAATGACTGGGCCACCTGCCACCTGCCTGGCGCCAAGTTTGCACAGCTGCATCCGCTGCAGCAGCCGCATGGACCTTGCCCGGTCAAGTACTAAATCAGCCGTAAAAGCCGAAAAGAAACAATTCTCAACGATCACGTTCCGTTCGCTGGCCTAATAATGGGCCTGAGGGGAGTGGAGGGGGAGGTGGAGCGGTTTGCCGTGTGGCCTGTGGCATGTGGCATGTGGCATGTGGCATGCGGAAGGATGCAACTGCTATGTGCGGCATGTGAGGCATTTGGGGCATGCGTGACATATGACGAGGCGCGCCTCATTGATCTGCACGTTTTCACGTTGCGTTCCTCGAAAATGATGTTTAACACGCACATACACACACACCAGCCACACCAACCACACCAACCACACTAACCACACAACAACACACACAGGCAAGAAAAAAAAACTACTTGCACACGTTTAGCGCGGCACGTTTCGTGCGACGTTTGCACATTTCAAGGATGTAACTAAATTCGTAATGAAGACGTGCAAGCTGAAACTACGTGCGTGCGCGTGTGTGTGTGTGTGTGTGTGTGTGTGTGTGTGTGTGTGTGCGTGTGCATTGGTGTGCGCTTAACTCCATTTTGCCTGCCATACTGGGAAAAACATTCAATCAATCAGTCAAATCCGTCAAGCAATTTCCGTTAAATTAGTCAAGCTGATTATTTACTGCTGCTGCCCTCATGTGGAGCAGGTCATGTTGAGGTCGCACACAAACCATTACCAACCCCGCACACCCCCCCCCCCCCCCCACCCGTTCTTTAGTTCCATTTAATTGTGGCTAGTTGAACTGCGGAATTGGCTAAATAAACATCAAGAAATCGCCCCAGCCAAGTTTACCGTCCAGCTTGTAATTAGATGCGACTCATTAAGCACCAAGGCAAAAAATGCGACAAAATTACACTGAGCGAAAACGTTAGTGCTGTTTGGCACTGCACAAAAAAAAAAGGAAACCGACTAGAGAGAAGTATCGATAAGTATCGATAGTGCCTGCCCCACTATCAATAGTCTTTAATTAGTTCATCCTACTCTCAAGTAAAAAGGTTAAGAACGGCATATTAGTTTTGTAAAGAAGACACATAACAGGTCTTAGCAGAGAGTTTATAAGCAAGAGTATCCAAGTTCGAATTGTCGATAATCAATATCGATAATCTCCCAATTTTTCAGAGTTATGAGTTATATATTCATATCTTATTTGGGCATATCTCCTAAACTTTACGAGCTAGTCAAATTTAAAAGCTAGCTCGGCGCTGGGTACTCTCTCTCTCTTTCTTCTCTCCTCTTTTTTCTCTCTCTCTCTTTTTTTTGTGTTTTACCTTGACATCTATCGAACACTTTTGATACCTTTACAATAATGAAGAAATTGTTGAAAACTCTATACTAAATATTTTCCAATTGAAAATGTGAAATCTCTTTATGTGTGCGTAGTTTTTCGGCTAAGAAATTGAAAGTGTTTGGCAGCTACAACAACAGCTGGGGATTGCCATAGTGTCCGCTGACAATAGGCGGCTGGCCTTGAACTCCTTGTGGGCCGCCCAAAACCAACTAGAACGAGTTATGCGCATGTGTCCGACTTTAATTAATTACCGGAATACCGTTAATATTTGCATTGCCTTCAAAGCGCCGCAACCGAACCGACCGAACCAGTAGATCCGCTAAGCAAACACAAAGAGCGCAACGAGGCCCAGAAAGCGACGCGAGGCGCCACCAAATGGCCGCCAAGCGGCGCGGGGCCATGGCGAATCGGTGTAGTCCCCAGCAGGCGTATATACCCTGTAAACAGGCAAACCAGCATTGGGAGTACCTAAAGAACTGAAGCTCTTGAGAGCAGACCAGATATAAATCAAATTTACAAGTTCCTTTTTGCTCAATCAAATGGAATATAAACATAACTAAATATAGATATAAACGATATGAGACAAACTTGACTCAATTCCCATTAAAGGGAAGTGCTCATGTCAAATGCTTCCAGAAAGTATCCATGCAAAGTATCCTTACAAAGATGAAGCATCCAAGTATGGATATTGGTGTGGAAAGTATTCAATTCACAATATGCAAACTGTAGGGTATCTTTTAGTTGGTCATGCTCGACTAGAACGTTTCTTATATATTCTCCATTTTATTTTTGCTCCCTTCATTTTTCCATATTTTGGTCGTGTTTCTCGAAATTTAATTTCTGGAAAAAAAATGCGCTCAAAAGTATGCAATGCCAAATTATGTTGTGCTGGTGCCGCCGCGCACAGGCCTCCGGGGGGTGCTGCATGTGGCATGTGGCACGGTGCAGGCGTCGAATAACGTGTAGGTAATGCAACGGCAGGCAAAGGTAGCGCTGTTTTGGGCTGAAAATAAACAAACGGCCAACAACGTTCGCGTTGTCCATTTTATTAACATTTCTCCAACGATGTGTGTGTGTGTGTGTGTGTGTCCAATTTCCATTGCATTGGTTAGCTGAAAATTCTAAAAATATATAAAATTTCGAGCCAAGCTCGTGCTTTAAAGTCGCTTTAAATGCAAACTGAAACTGCAATGCACTGAGAAAAGTTAAGAATAAAACTTAAGCCCGAGATAATGTCGATAGTCGGCTTCAAATAGATGCCTATATTTTGCTTCATTTCAAACTATATAAAAATATTACAATTATGGCGTTTGATCCATGAATAGCTTTTTAATATGCATCGTACTTCAGAATTGTCGTATAGCTATCAACTTTTAAGAGTCATCGTTGCGATTGGCCAGCGAACAATTGGCCCTAAATATCCAGTGGGCAATTTGCTGATATCTGCACGCGCCCTGTGTGAAAGTTGGCATCCATTAGAGAAGCGCTGCGCGGACGGAGGATTAACTTACCTGCGCGGTGAAAACGTTTCGCTCGGGTGGCTGGAGCGTGTGCCATATATTGACGGCAAAAGAGATCGCTTCTTTGCCCCACAGATCGGGGCGCAGTTCCCGGAATTCGGTTAAAAAGTTAAGAAACCCGCTGTGCGTGACTTGACTCCGTTGAGAACGCATGCTGCTCTCGACGCTATCGCTATTATCGATCTTGCCCGACATTTTTGGCAAAAGGTCCATAGAAAAAAATTGGTAAACAAAAAAAAGGAAAACAAGAAAGAATTATGTAAAATGTACAAACGATGTTTTTATTAAATTTTGTATTGTTTTATGCTTATTTGCTCACTACGAATTTTAGACTGTGACTGATGACTGATTGATTGTACGAGGGAGTTCTGAAACGCCAGGTGAAGCTATTTTAGCAGGCTACTAAGCTACTATCAAATGCCAATTTAATGTCTGTACACATTGATGTACATTTATGCATACATGGCGTCTGGAAGGCTCCTTCAAAGAACAATACACAAATCATAATAATAGTTTGAAATATATTGCTCGCTGATTACCGTCTTAGAGTCAATAAGTCAAACGGGAAGAATTCTTCTTAGCACAGGGTATTAAGCAGTCGGCTGGACCCGACTGCAGTGTTCTTACTCTTTTCTTATGCTCTAACAATCAAGAAACCATGTTTAACCAGAGAAAAGAAGCAGCAAACTGTCGAAGCTTAAACTTGTTGCGAATTACAAAGCAACGATAAACAGCGTCCGCTTTCTGTAATAATAATGTAAAGGAAGTCTAACAGAAAAGAAAAGGGAAACAGCCCTGCGACCGAGACGGTCTATTGTCCTTGGTGCTGGATAGGGGGGGATTTGGGGCAAACTCTTTGTCTATATGCTGCCTCCTATTCAAAGAAGCCTGTGTGCTGCAGTTTGTTGCAACTTATTCAATACTAAAATGCTTTCCGTATCAATTGACCGTTTTTTTTTTTTTTTTTTTAGATGATGGAGCACGCCTGGCACAACTATAAATTGTATGCCTGGGGCAAGAACGAGCTGCGTCCATTGTCGCAGCGTCCGCACTCGGGCAGCATATTTGGATCATATGATTTGGGCGCCACAATTGTAGATGGCCTGGACACGCTGTACATAATGGGCCTGGAGAAGGAGTACAAGGAGGGACGCGACTGGATTGAGCGCAGATTCTCGCTGGACAACATCAGCGCCGAGCTGTCCGTCTTCGAGACAAATATACGCTTTGTGGGCGGCATGCTAACACTGTACGCCTTCACTGGGGATCCACTGTACAAGGAGAAGGCGCAGCATATTGCGGATAAGCTGCTGCCCGCTTTTCAAACGCCCACGGGCATACCCTATGCGCTGGTCAACACCAAAACTGGCATGGCCAAGAACTATGGCTGGGCATCCGGTGGTAGCTCGATTCTCTCCGAGTTTGGCACACTGCATCTGGAGTTTGCCTATTTAAGCGATATAACTGGCAATCCGCTGTATCGGGAGCGCGTGCAGACCATACGCCAAGTGCTCAAGGAGATCGAGAAGCCCAAGGGGCTCTATCCCAACTTCCTGAATCCCAAGACGGGCAAATGGGGCCAGCGTAAGTAGCTTGAACTGTTTTCGATTAGTAACATTTTCACCCAACTCCTGTGACCATTGCAGAGCACATGTCGTTGGGCGCTCTGGGTGACAGCTATTACGAGTATTTACTGAAGGCATGGCTTCAGTCCGGCCAGACGGACGAGGAGGCACGCGAAATGTACGATGAGGCTATGCTGGCCATTATGGACAAAATGGTGCGCACCAGTCCCAATGGGCTGACCTATGTATCTGATCTGAAGTTTGATCGACTGGAGCATAAAATGGATCATCTGGCATGCTTCTCGGGTAAGTTATTGATATATATTTGACAATTGCTGCTCGATTCGAGCCGGCGACATTCCACTCGCTAGTCCGACGCTCGATTCGTAAGCCATGCAGGCTCAGAGCGTCGCGTTCACAGAGCACCCCATTTCAGTTTCCACCCGGAACCTCTTTTATTAATATTTATACAGACATATTAAATATCCAAATTCAATTCGCAGGCGGACTTTTTGCACTGGGCGCTGCTACGCGCCAGAACCAGCACACGGACAAGTACATGGAAGTGGGCAAGGGCATTACCAACACCTGCCACGAGAGCTATATACGCGCGCCCACCCAACTGGGACCGGAGGCATTCCGGTTAGTATTCGGTTCAGGCAAATCCATTAATTTATATGTTAATCCTTCTGGAGTTACCTTTTAGCTTCAGCGATGCGGCAGAGGCGCGTGCGCTGCGCTCGCAGGAGAAGTACTATATACTCAGGCCGGAGACATTTGAGAGCTACTTCGTGCTTTGGCGCCTCACGCACGACCAAAAGTATCGCGACTGGGGCTGGGAGGCGGTGCTGGCGCTGGAGAAGCATTGCCGTACACCGCACGGCTACTGCGGCTTGCGCAATGTCTACCAGCAGGAGCCCCAAAAGGACGATGTGCAGCAGAGCTTCTTCCTGGCTGAAACACTCAAGGTATTTAGCTGATACTACGGAAATTTAAATCGGAAACAATTAACTGAAAACGTTTTTTCTTATGCCCTAGTACCTGTACTTGCTGTTCTCAGACGACTCCGTACTGCCTCTGGACGAATGGGTGTTCAACACGGAGGCGCATCCATTGCCCATCAAGGGTGCCAACATTTATTACCGCAAGGCTCCGGTGCCGCTGCCCGCATCGAATGCCTCATAAGCAGTTGGGCGCAGTTGGATGACCGCGTCATTTTAATTGACTATATATCATTTAATATAATGATTATTATTTAAATATTGTAATGTTTTTTTTTTTTTTTTTTTAATTTTTATTTGTCTGTTGTTTTAGTTAGTTTATATTTTAATGTGTGTATGCTTACATTATTTGAATGTACAATGACAACAACTATATAATTTTGATCTTTAGTTCGCCGGGCAATCAACGGACGACCATATTCTATGTAACATATTTATGCAACTCTTATTAACGATAGCAACAAGAACCCCAAGTAGTTATTATATGGTAAACATCCTCTAGCTCGTATTCAATACGCTCGGCACAATTTTTCAAACAACAAGCTAAAAGGCAAAACAATTTTTCACACCAATTTGTAGGTTGCACTTGGCTAATTACAATTTCAGGTGTTTGACAAAAAGGAAAACCCTAACAGTTATATGGTATATATAGATAAACACACATACACACACACACACACACACACACCCATAGATGATTTATATAAGTAAACTCAGGTGTTCGAATTATGATTTCTTGCATTGTCTCCGTTAACGGAATCAGCTTGAAAACTCTTCAACTTGGATTCTCAATATCGTTCTGTCTAACTCTCTCAGACTCCTCACTTTCACTCTCAATCTCTATCTCTGTCTGTAGTACTAGATCTATCTATCTACATAGCATATTTGTGTAGAGCACCCTGTATGTAACTTAATAACTTGCATTTTGAATATGAATATGACACAACTCTCAACATTCAGTGGCACATTCTGGGATCGACATATTTAAGAGCTTTGTTTTGTAAATATTTCCCTAGCGACAAAATGAAGGCATCAATGAGAAGGTTTACAAATCAAGTAATTGTCAAGTTATTGTTTATGTTGTAGTCTAAATATAATGATTAATAATTATTGTAATAGCACCTAGCATACTTTAAACAAATGTAACGCATATTACTTTACATCAGCATCAAGCGAAACGAATCTTAAATATATATATTACACATAAAAAACAACAACAACAAAAACAAACACATAAACAAATATGTAGGCAATTGTTTAAACTAAATATTTATACAATTATACAACAAGCGAAATAATTTTATTTTTAACAATGTAAAGGGTTTTTTTTTATAATCCTAAGCGTAAGATATGATGATAATTATGATATTAATATTAAATAAAAACCACATATAAATAACAAGAAAACAAACACAAAGTCGAAAATGTTAAATTTTTGTAATCTTCAGCGCTTTGTATCAGCTCTCGAGCTGTGAGAAGTCATATTAGAAATATACGTACATACACATAAATTATAATATAAAAATAATGAAGAGCATTACGAAAATATACATTTTCTAAGGTGAACACATAGTTTTATCATTATATAAATTATATATATACATATATATATATATATATCTAAATATAAATAAATATTTTTTTTTATGTTATATCAACGTACTTGTAAGACAGAACGTGAATATTGTATAATTGTGAGTCTAATAAAATTGTAAATGCATGATAGATGAACACGACGAGGTGGGCGACTCTCCCTAGGGACAGTGCAAGTGGATATTAAGAAATGCTTAAACATAATTGTATTGGACTAACCCATTAGTTTAATAAAAACCTAATGAATAACATTAAAACAAATGCGATCTGTTTTGCGACATTTTTGAATAGGTTAATGAATTTTAAGTTTTGTACCATGCCTGGAATACTTTATCGATTTTATATTGCGTATATTCATACGACATAGACACCTATTCGAAAATGGTATATATGCATGTTAATTCCTAATTTTTTACCCGAATCGATGTAACTGTTTAATTCCATCTGAACAAGTTTTTAGACACTATTAGTATTACTTAAGCCCCAATCTGATGATGGGCAAGCAATATTGAATATTCATGATTTAACTCTTTTTGTAGAAGATTCTAAAGAACTGCTCGAAGAGTGCACGAGACGTTGATAATTGCCCGGCGTGTTTATCCCTTTGTCTTTACGAAACTTCGTATAGATCCGTCTTTCTGTTGCAAAAATTGAATTTTCAATGAAATTCTCTTCTGTTTTTCAAGAAAACTTAACCAAACCCAGCGAATACAATCTCTATCATGCTCTTAATGGGTGGGTAAAGTCTTTGACAATGACAATTTTTGGAAAAACAGCATATTTGAGGTTTTCATATCCCCTACTCCCATTTTGGTTTCCTTCTTCTGAGATGAACATTTGCTTATAATTTGAAAATCTTAATCTTACCCGAAATTGCATACGCATGGAAAATCCCGAGCGGTCTATTCCAGCTAACTTGTATGTATGTATGTATGTATTAATTTCAATTAACTGCCGGTCTGCATCATGATTTTCTCTATTAAAATATGTACATATACATATGTAAGTACTTGCACAAGGCGAACAAAGCGCTCTGAGGTTAACAACATTTCGCACCCAAACTCACACTTGGCGGAGAACCCGGAACGGGAACGCCAATTCCAGCTTGCAATGCGAGCGGGCAAAGTCCGAAGCGCACAGCATAAGAGACTACTGCAAACGGCTGGGCAAACAAAGCATAACCATAAAAGCCAACAAGAAGCCCACCCGACGCTAGTCGCCGCCCACTCATAAAGAAAATGAAGAAAAAAAAAACAAAAAACAAGAGTGTATAAGACTTTAGATTCAAAAGTCATTCCACCCGCGGGCCGCGGAGCGCAAACAAAGACAACTCTGCGCTTGCAGTCGAAGCCATTCACTGGCTGTTGCTCTCTCACTCTCTCTCTCTCTCTCGTTCTAGCGCTCTTTTGCGCTCCCTTTTGTTCTTGTTGTTCGCATTACTCCTGCTGCTGCTGCTTCTTCTTTGTTGGCTAGACGAGCCCGCCAGACCAGCTGAGTTGCTTTTTGCCGGTCGCAGCGACTGCGCTTATTGATTTTTGTTGCTGTTATACCCTAACCTAATCAGACTACTGCGGCTACTTGCAGTGTAATGTAATTGTATTGTTTATTTGTTATATATAAATAAAACTATATGTTTATTCATGAATATATATATATATATCAAGCATTAAAAGCGGATGAATAACAATTTCTCATCATATATCACATCCATATACAGTACATGTATTACAACAGCTCATTATGACATCAGCGTATAGAGTATACAGTCGGCGAACTGCCCTCAAACTACGCCTTTGTGTTTTTGTTTTGGTCGTTGACGTTCGCGGCCTCGCTTCAAGCAACCGCACAGTTGTTTGCGAGGTTTCAAGCGAGTCGGAGCGTCCGATGCAGCAGCAGCGCCAGTAGCTCCAGCGGTTGCATTCAGTTGAAGTCCAGAGCGTTTGTTCTTCTCTACATCTTAGTTTTGTTGTGTGTGGTTTCGCAAGTGCCGTGTCAGTGCCAGAGCTGCAGTATGCCGTTTCCCATACATCCACCCAAGCAAATGCCCTGCCCACACTGGCAGCACTTTCCCATTAGCCCGGTTGACAGCAAGCCGGCGCCATTTGGCAGCAGCAACAACGATACGGTTGCGCCAGTTAACAAGCCACCGGAGCCGGTGTCCTATCGCTACTGTGCCCACTGCAAGGCAGCTGGCAAGGATGTGGGCGACATCAGTAAGGATTGAATGGAGCTACCAATTGCACGCATTTTTCACCTTGCCGATGACATGGGCCACGCACTGAATCCACCCATTCCAAAAACACTCGTCACCCACTCACGAATCCACATAAACATCACCAACCACCAGCCACACCGAACCACTCACAATGACAGTGGAGCTCCCAACTTATCTCAAGTGGGCCAGCCGCGATGAGTGCAGCTTTTAAATATATCGAATTAGAATTTGATTTGTATTCTTATAAGAATTTCGTATGTGTTTGCCTTCTGCTCGTCATTTACTTTGCGTTTTTGTTTCATGTGCCAATCACAATGATATCTACATGCATATAAGTATCATGATCTATATACTATATCATTGTATATAAATATACGTATATATTTTTTACATTTAAAATGCTTAAGCTAAGATTTTTCTACACATGTGTTTTTTAGACTTGAGAACTAAATTTGGTAAAAAAAAAAAATCAAAAAAAAAATAAACAACAAAATAAACGCACGACGCATATAAAAACAAGTTTATTTTACACACACACACGAATGCATACGTATATGTACACGCACAAATATGAGCAGATGCATCGATGTGTGTGTGGTTTGTTTTCTTGAGCGGCACACTTTTTTGGGACTTGTTTGTTTGCCTGCTGCTGCTGCTGCTGTTGTTGTTGTTGTTGCTGTTGTTGTTGTTGTTCCGGATCGTGCGCTGCTTTTTATCAGTATTCAAGGTCAGTAGACAGCAACAGCAACAACGGCAAGAGGCATTAAAAATTCAAGCATACCCGCGATAAGCATGAAACGAAACAGAACAATCCAGCAGAATTTAATCATACATATATACATACATACACACATACATACATACATATTTAATCCAGCATTTTCGGTTTTCAATTCGGGTCTTACGCTGTTTTCATTCTTTTGTTGTTGTTATTGTTGTTGTTATATTTCTCGTGTGGCCCCCAATGGGTTAATTAGCTCGCTTGCCGCACGCAACTGCAATGCAAGAGAGTTGTCTGAGGATGGGTGACAAAGTTCAACAAACTGCTTAAGTGCAAAAATAAATACGCACTCGCAGTTACAAATACACATACATACATACATGTGTATGTGCATAAATACATATGTATGTATGTACGTGCCGGCATGCATGCATACGTATGTACATACATATGTATTTCGAACTACCGCTAGTCGCTGCTAGAAGGAGCGGTAAAAGTATCACACCTTATCACACACGCAGAACAATAGAGCTCTCTGCACTCCAGATGCAAATACATAAGAACACGTGCATACAAGCGTACATAGTATATGAATGTGTGTATGTATATCAGGCTGTATATATGTATGCTTGTATGTACATCATTTTGTTCTTATCGTTTCGGGTGCGCAAAACTGAAAGTAACATCGCCAGACTAGGTTTGCTGTCGTATCTACATACATACATACATACATACATGGTAACTTCA